GTTCTGGGCTTACTCCTGGCTGTGCACTATTAGCAGTGCTGTGATACCAGGATTGAACCCAGGTCAACTAAGTACCATATCTGATGTCCTAGTATTGGTCTTTGAATATTAGATTTTAAAAGAAGAAACGCTCAAGTGGAAATAAAGAATGAATGAATCAGTATGGTTTATGAGAAATGAATGAGTAAAAATAAATTTCCTGATTCCTGGTCCTTAATCTCTTTATGACATTTCCTCCCAGAAAAGAATTTTATGTCAATATAGTCACAGATTCTTTATAGTTTCTTGTTTATTTCCTCCAGTGGCAGCTAATTTTTCTTCTTTCTTTCCTTCTTTCTAAATTTCTAAAACACCCTCCCTCCTTTCTTTTTCTTTCCTTCTTTCTTTCTCTTCCTTTTTCTCCCTTTTGTTCTTTCTATCTTTCTTTCTTTCTTTCCCTTTCCTTTCTTTCTTTCTATTTCTCTCTTCCCTCCTTCCTTCCTTCCCTCCTTCCTTCCTTCCTTCCTTCCTTTCTTCCTTCCTTCTTTTTTTATTTCTCTTTTTGTTTGTTTTGGGGTCATACTCAGCAGTGCTCAAGGCTGTTCTGGCAGTGTTCTGGGATTCCTGATTCTATGATCTGGCAGGGCTAAGAGGATCCTATATGGTGCCTAGAATCAAACCCAGGTTGGCTGCATACAAAGCAAGCTATACTATCACTCCATCTCCAATTTCTCTATTTCTTTACTTGGGGCTCAATTTGAAGCACATATCAACTAGCAGAATGTGGCAGAAGTGATGTATGAATTTCATCCCAAGTTCTTTGGAGATATTCAGCTTCTGGTCTTGCTCTCTTAGAATAATACAGATGCCATGGGAATGAGCCAAAGTTAGGATAGCCTCTGGAGAACCTCTTAAAGAAATGAGATGCTTTGGCCAAAAGCTCCAGCCAACCACCAAACATAAGGAAAACCTTACTTATGTTTTCTTGGACCAGGCAGTCCTGAACTGGCCTGCTAATTGAAGTTAAGCATATAAGTGATCACAGGTGACTTTCCAGTTGGACTTAATTTATCAAACCATAGAATAGCAAGTCAATGTGTTCTGGTTTTAAGGCACCACAATTGGGACTTTTAAAAAAATTAAGGAATAATAAGTAACTAGTACATTTCCTCACAAACCAATCGTAGTTTTTATTTTGAAAGAGCCTCACAGAGGAAATCACACCATTTCTCCCAATTATATATTTCTTCTTGTTCTGAGTGGAAAATGCGGGGGGGGGAATTGTTTACCAGTTCTTTCTACAAGCACAGAATACTTCCAGAACACTGAATCTGATCAGTTCATGAAAGAAGTTTTATGACAGTCATAGTAATAAGATTGTTTTAATTGAAATAATGCGTGCACATAATTGTCTCATTTTTTACATGATGAAGGACGTTTCTTGTCATTGACAGTGACGAGTCATTGAAGTGGCTTCAGAATGGGGCTAGACTAAGCAAGAGACCCGCAGGTTTGTCTTTATTCTTTCTTACAAAGCTTCCTGAGAAATCTGCTCTAATTAGCTTGTTTGTCGCCTCCAGATGAGATCTTGGCCAAGTCCCAGACATATTTTTCAGGACTTTGGGAAGGAAGGACTTCAGGCAATGAAAAAGTACATGGAAACTCTGGACTGTGATCTCTCTGGAAATTTCTACCCTTTCTCGGTTTGCATTGGTCTCTAGCTTCAAGACAGCAGGGAGACAAAGCAGATGAGTATCTTCTCTCTCCGCCTACATCCTTCCAAACAGCTGGTTTGGTTTCTTTGGGGCTAATACTTGGGAAGGGAAGAGAAGTAAGCGACGAGACATATCTGACTTATTCTGCCTGGACCCCTGCCATGACACGGTGCCCAGTGCTGCTCTCCTTACTGGGAATCTTCCACGAACTCTTCAGAATTCTAACAGGCACATCCCATAGAAACCCTCTGGATCAGATGTGCTTCCTTTAGCTTATTATTTGTAAATTGGTCTGAATTGTTTTCTTCCAAGCTGTGTGCCCACCCTGTTCTTTCTTGGTGGCCTGTTTTGGGGTACTAAGTCCTACAGCATGTACTCAGATGGCCTGGGGCCATTCCTGGCAACTCTCAGCCAATTGTGCTTGCTGTTCTCTGCGAGGGTCTGAGTGGGCAATGCTGCTCTGCTTCTGCATTGCTGAGGACCACCAGGGTCACACAGGCTGTGATCAGGGGCCCTCAGGCCTGCACCTGCCTATGTTCAGGGGTTTATGTGGATCCAGAGATCATACTCATGTTGGGCATACACCTTAACTCCTATTCTTTCTGTCTCCTGGTGGTTCTGGGAGACAGTACTGGTGCCAGGATTAGGTGGGGACCAACTTCATGCAAGGCAGGCATCTTAACCCCTGTACTATCTCTCCAGAAAAACAGAAAGAAAAAAAAGGAAAGAAAGAAAGAAAGAAAGAAAGAAAGAAAGAAAGGGAGGGAGGGAGGGAGGGAGGGATGGATGAAGGGAAAGAAAGAAAGAAAGAAAGAAGAGAGGAAGGGAGGGAGGGAGGGAGGGAGGGAGGGAGGGAGGGAGGGAGGGAGGGAGGGAGAGAAGGAAAGAAAGAAAGAAAGAAAGAAAGAAAGAAAGAAGGAAGGAAGGAAAGAAAGAAAGAAAGAAAGAAAGAAAGAAAGAAAGAAGAAAACAGAACATTAAGTGTCCGAGAGTCTCAGTGATTTAGGCTTTGATCCAATTCACAGTTCTGAAAATAACTGATCGTATAACATTGGATCAGTTGGTTGTACTTTCTGTGTCTCCATTTTTTTTTTTTACCTGTACAAACTGTAGAGAAAACAATGACCCTTATCTCCTTTCTAGAAGGACTGTAAAACAATGGGAAAATCTGTATCAGGAAGCATTTATTGTCATCAAAATGTATTTACCAGTCCCAGGGGAGTTCTCGGTGAGAAGGTGGTTTCTCGTCTAATTATTTCAGTGTTATGGGGCACCAAATCAAATCCCCTGGGGTTAGAATCAAGGACCCAAAACACGGTTGTCTGTTGGCTCGAGTGTGGTTGCACAGTGGGGACCTGCTGGTGGTCACCAGTCACTGGAGTCCTACACTTCTTGTTGCTCCTGAAGCTCTGAGCCTCTGGGAGGCGCTGGTGTGACTGGCACAGCTGCAGTGGGTGGCTTTGGTGACTCCCTGTGACAGAGGCCTCCGGAGATAAGCAGATAAGGCCTCTCTCTCCTGGGCCAGCTCCCAAACCCAGGTTGCTTGGCCTCCAAAAGGTAGTGGGGAGAGACCGGGTCACCTCAGGCTCTTTCTCCATGGCCAGCTCAGCTTCTTCTGTAGGAGGAAACCCAAGCCGTGACCCTGACGGGTTCCCAGAATCCCTGCCCACCTCTAGCTCTTATCTCCAGGAATGGTGTCTATTATCTTTTCCCTGGAGGCTAGCTCAGTTGCTCTAACTGCTTGAAAGCAGGTGGGAAGGACACAGGGCCCATCTAATACCTTCAACCAATGGCCTTCCTGGAAGCTTCTTTCTACTTTCTAGATGAGTTCCCATGCACCCCCTCACCTGGACTCTGTCCAGGACACTGTGATTCCCCCCACACTGCCACACACCCCAGAGACCTTCCCATCAGTAGCCTGTGTCATTAATTGTATCCATGAGAGGTTGTCCCTGTGTCTCGAGGGGCCAGGCCTACTTCACCACTTCTACATTTCCAAATTTGTCAGGCAAAAAACTAGCCATGGGGGCTCTTGTCTTTTATCTAATCTATCCAGATCCCCAGCTCCAGGCCAGCCTCTGCCAGATAACCTTCTGCAGGACTTGAGTGTCTTTTTGGCCAAGCACAAATCCTGCCTATTCTTCTCAGGACACACTCCCTGGCACAGAATCACACAGACACGGCCTTCGTTCCACTTCCCTCCAGCCTTGGGGAACCAGAGCTTAGAGGCACAGCGCATGGTGGAGGAACCGGGAGCACTCTCTGGTGGTCACAAGTGCACTTTTCCTGGGAAGACAACAGAGGCAAAATGCCTGCTCTCGGGAAGGTGCTCACTGAACGTCTAGGGGAGAACGCAGTGTGGTGTGGGGAGGGTAGGAGCTAGCATGGGAGACTCGTTCCTCCAGAGCCTTGTGCCGCCTCTCAGGTGCTGGGGAAAGAAAGGGGAAGAGTGTGTCCTCACTAGGAAGAAAGAAAGAGAGATCGGGGGAGAGAGAGAGAGTCAGAGACAGAGACAGAGACAGAGAGACAGAGACAGAGAGACAGAGAGAGAGACAGAGAAACAGAGAGTCAGACAGAGAGACATAGACAGAGACAGAAAGACAGAGACAGAGATATAGAGACATGGAGACAGAGAGACAGAGACACAGAGACAGAGACAGAGAAACATAGAGACACGGAGACAGTGACAGAGAGACAGAGAAACAGAGACACGGAGACAAAGACAGAGAGACAGAGACAGAGAGACAGAGAACCAGGACTTGGCCCTCTTTTCCTTTCCTGCATCCCCAAGCAGCAGGGGAATGCAGACAAGTTCCTCTTTTTCCAGATAATAATTACCCGCCTGACACTGGGGGCAGAGGAGGGTCGTAATGTTTGGAAGAGCAGGTTGGCTCGTTGGCTTTTTCCATGCTCTTCTGGGACCAGGACACACCCGGGACCTCTGGGGTAGGTATCTACGGGGAAGGTGGCAACGGATGCAAAAACCACAGATGCAACAGAGTCCAGTCATAGAAGAAAGGAGAGAAGAATGTTCCAGAAATAAAAGAATGTTCATGAGCAGGAGCAGAGGCTGGGCAAAGAGGAGCCACCTCAGGGCCACGGAGAAAGCCCCTTTGCGGCTGCCTCTGCCCTGAGGAGCTGCGATAAAGGAGCACCAAGGCTGCTGTCTCCCAGCTGATAAACAAGCTCCACCCCAGCCCGGACCAGTGGGGTGCGTAAGGGGGCTGGGAGGGGGTGGGGGGGCTGGCAGTGTCAAGGGCGCCTCCTCCAGGTCCCAGGCACTGGGGTGGGGGCAGGAGGGAGGCGACTTCCTGGACCCCAAACCCTGAGCAGAAGCTGGCAGGAACCGCACTCTGGGAAATGCAAGTTCCTTCCTGGGTCAGCGCCTGGGGCGGGGAGCGGGGTGGTCATCGCCTGATGCAAAGACTCTGCTTCCCCCTGGCTGGAGCAGAGGGAGCTGGAGGTGACGGGCTGGGGAGGGAAAGAGGGTGTGGAGGGATCCCCCCAAAGCTGGTTCTGCTCTCTCTGGGGCACCCACCTCGCCTCCCCTCTGCTTCTTGCCCCAGCGTCTTTCTCCTCTCTTCTCTCCCAGGCAGGAGGGTGGAGAGCGAGCCGTGAGGCCCCACGGGGCCACTGCACAGAGCCCGGAGGGTGGAATGGGAACTGCCCAGAGTCAACAGGTAAGGGAGCACCTGGGCCGGCGGTCAGTCCTAAGGTCCCCTGAATGTCCCGTGGCGGGTTCTCAGGCGCAGGGGGCCTGAGCAAGGTGGAGGATTGTCTCCAGGCAGAGGGGACAATTGTCCCCTTCTTCCCTCTCTCTCTCTCTCTCATTCCCTTCCCTCACGCCCCTGCGCAGAGGCCTGGAGAGGAGGAGCCCCCCGCTGAGCCCCGGGCCCGGTGGGCTGTCCTCAGGAGGGTACTTCTGGTCATCCTGATTCTCGGCCTGATGCTGGCTTCTTCCGTGCTGCTGGTCTACATCCTACGTGGCTGTGCTCCTAGTAAGCAAAATCCCAGCCCCCCTCACTGGGTCACAGGGCCTGGAAAACCCCACCCCCCGCCCAAAGATTAGTCCTAGACCCCCATCTGCCCGCCCCTCATCCCCCGGCTCACTGCTTCCCACCCTCCCCGTTGAATCCTACTGGCACCCAGGTTCCTAGGCAGGTTCTGACCCTGTCACCTGCCTGGGTCTCTCCTTCAGCATTCCTCAGCCTCGCCCCTGGGGGGAGCCCTGGTCTCTCTCTTCTTTCTAGCCCTGGGCTTTCCCCACAGGCCCCTGCAAGAAGCAGGTGTGCTGGGATCTCCTGGCTCGGTACCTGGCCTCGGGGAACACCAGCGCTGACCCCTGCTCCGACTTCTTCACCTATGTCTGTGGGAACGGTCACTCTGTCCAGTCCCTTGCAGAGGAGAACAAAGGCCGACTCCGGAAAATCCTGGGTAAGGGTATGCGAGTGCGAGTGCTGAGCCGAAAACCAGGTTCAGGGGCCAGAGGAGTAACTCTGTACCCCCCAGCCCTCTGCGGGGGACTCTTGGTCAAAGGCCTGGGTTGGCTTCTTGCTCCTCATGACCTGTACGTTGGCACCTTCTCCTTCCATCTCTTGCTGGCTCCTCTTCCCGTCTTCTCTTTACCTAATTCCTGTGCATCATCTTCCAGGTTTGTTCTCGGTCTTCTTCCCAGTCTTTTGCTAAATATCATCTTCACTTTCCTCTCCCTGGAATTCTTGATTTCTCTCGAATGCTGGTAATTCCCCTACCCGTCCTCCTCACCCGCTCCTGCATTGGGATTCTTCTCTGGGTCATGCTCACCCTCCAGCCTTCACACCCCCCGACCCACACTTCTCCTGTCTCCTGGTGCCCCGGTCATTGTTATCCTGAGTCTTCCTCTGGGCCTGCTCTGAAATCTGGGATCATGACTTCCAAGTTGAACGGAAGTAAGTTGGATACCAGGGCCGGGTGATTGGAGATGACGGGAAGATGACAGGGTGGTATGAGGAGGTGAGAGGTGACCAAGGGGGTTATCTGGCTGGGTGTGTGTGGAGGTATGTGGACAGACATGAGAGATAGGTGGCCAGCAAGCCCTGGAGGTAGAGAAGGGCCATGCCAGTGACCGTGACGGAGAAAAATGCTTTGATGAGTGGGGAAGTTATGGAGGAGGTGCAGAGGCCATCTGGAAGGTCGGAAGTGGGTTCCAAGCAGGAAGGGGGTTGTGGAGAAGACTTGGGGATGAGAACATACAGGATCTGAGTGTTCCCAATGTCAGAGAATGAAGAGAAGGTGCAGCTGGCTTTCCACTTCCAGCAGCAGAAATTGGGATAGATCATAGGGATAGAGTGGAGGCAGCCCTCGCTGGGCAGGGGGCCCCTTTTCCAGTTAAGCACAGGTTGTTCTGTGTTTCAGAACCACCCCATCACCCACAGTAAACACGGGTCTAAAGAACAAGAGGGAGGTGACAGGTGACTCAGATGGATGTTTCTCTGGTTTACGGTTATGTGTGTGTTTGTTTTCTGTGACCAGACAGTGAGAGGCTGGGCTGGGTTCCTTCTCCACATGTCCTGACTGACGCCCTCCCCAGAAGCGGGCCTCTCTGCAGTCCCCCTGACCCACCCCCACCCACACACACATATACCCACCCACACACACATATACCCACCCACCCACAGACACACACACATATATACACACACACCACATACACCCACACATACACACACACACACACACACACACACACACACACACACACACACTTCTCTGGGTCCCGACTTCTCATGTCTGGGTTCACCTTCCTCCTGCTCCTCCTGCCTTCTGTCTCTGCCCAATCTCTGCTTTCATAGCCAATCCCTCCCACCCCTGCCTTCTTCTTTTGCTCTTTTTTTGTATATCCTCATGTTTTCTCTACTCTCCTTCACTGTCTAGTTCCGCTGAAGCACTCCTCCTTGCTCTACCACTTTCTTCCTCCCTTTTCTCTCACCCCCCACCTCCTCTATTTCCCCAAGAGTTTCCTTTTTCTTTCCTGGAAGTTCCCTATCTCCCAACATCCACACATGTTCTTGAATATTCCCATACTTCCTCTCTAGAGAACCCCAACTCCTGGCCCCCAGGCTCTGGGGAGGAGAAAGCTGTCCGCTTCTATAACTCCTGCATGGACACCGATGCCATCGAGGCCGCAGGGGCTGGTCCCCTCAGACAAGTTATCGAGGAGGTGAGACGGTGCCGCATCTCCACCCCACACCAGTGTCCTGCCGGAACTGCTGTAAGGCATGATGTCGTTCCTAGGAGCCCCAAGTTCTAGCAGGCAACTGGCTATAACTTGCTGTGCCCTGTGAAAGCAGCCAGACCCTGGACGGGTGGCAGGAAGGAGGGAAGTGACCCCCACAGGGCTCAGAAGCCAGGAAGTCGCAAACATCCATCATAGGTGCAGGAGACACCTCAGACTTCCATTCCCTGCACCCAGCCTGTCTCTCTCCTTCCCAGCTTGGAGGCTGGCAGATCTCCGGGAACTGGACTTCCTTAGACTTTAACCGAACCCTGATACTTCTGATGAGTCAGTACAATCACTTCCCATTCTTCAGAGCTGACCTGCGCCCGCATCCTGCCCCGCCACACCGGCCTGTCATCCAGGTGAGGGTAGCCCCTGCAAGCGTGCAGTGACACCTGACCTCTACTTCCTGTCTCAGAGCAGGGGTGATGTTTCAAAGAGCACATGTCACCACATGAGGAAGGGAAAATGGTTGCTGCGAGAGCCAGGGGCACTGGATGAGATTAGACAAAGAAGCCAAGTGGCCAGTTGGGGGTGGGGGTGGGGGCCTGGGGGGCTTTCCATCTTCCTGCCACGTAACTGGCTTGACCTAAGAGCTTCTGAGTTCAAGAACCCTGATCCCTAGTATTGCCTCCCTCTTGTTTGCTTTGCATTTTTCTCAGTGGGCCCTTTCTAAACGGAGAACTAATTATGCTATTGTTTCCCTTTAATTGCCTTTGGTGACTCACCAGGTCATCTAGTTCCTTAAGTCTTTAACAAAAAATGTTGCCAAGTGGTCTGAGCCCCACACAGTTCACTGACCTCTCTCTCTGGCCCTCCCTCTCCTCCTAAAGACCCCTGTCACAATCACCCACTCATGGCGCTTCGAGGACATTCCCGAAGCTCTTTGCGTACGTGGCTGCTTTTGCCTTTTTGCGCTTTCACTTCTCAGATCCCACACTCAGTCTGAACCGTTTGCACGTTTATTTTCGGTTTTGGTGTGGGGGTCATACCTAGTCGCACTCCAGGGTCACTCAGAGGCTGTGTTCTGGGATTGCTTCCAGTGGGGTTCAGGGGACCGTGCAATGAGGAGGATTGAACCAGAAACCTCTGTGAGCAAAACATACACTCATTGAGCTTTCTCTCCATCCTACAACTTCCGCAATTTTCAAGTTTGGGGCTTGATCTTGGTTTTTTTCGAAAGCTCTTCGCTGACACCTGACAGAGATCCAGACAAGTCCTTCTGCTCTCCCTGTCTGTTAGCATTGCTCAGGGGTCAGGAAGGGGGGGTGAGGGCAGAGACACTGAAAAATAGGAGCATCTCTTCCCTTGGGCCTCCCACCTAATCAAGGCCAGCATGAAGCGGCCCAGGAGTGCATAAAATAGTTAGCAGGTGGGAGGTCTCCAGATTGGGGTGGGCAGTAAGATAGTATGATGCTGCTCATTGAGCCAATTTCCGGAAATTCCAGATTCCTAAGAGGGTAAATACACAAGCAGTGGGAGATAGACTAGCTTTAGGAATTTTAAATCAAGTGGCCTTGGGATCGGTCAAAGATGGATAAGGTGAGGAGAAGAGGAGGCTGAGCTGACCCTTGAGGCAGGTGAAGGCAGTTCTAATGACAGTCATTCAAAGGGCATAGGGCAATGCGGAGCAAGAGTCTAGAATGATCTGATTCCACCATGGAGCGCAGTGGGAAATGAAGTGAAGACTGAAGCCAGGGGATTGGACCTGAACATTTAGGCCCAAATATCCAGGCAAAGGTGATCACATGCGACTTAAAAGAGATAAATGAGTCCTTTTATATTTGATAGCTGGGCCTTGGACTTAAATTGAAGCAGCGGTCTTGGAGGTCAACCTGGAGGTGAGGTAGGATCTAGAAGCTCCGGTTTGAGATTCTGAATTAAGAAGATAATGGCAAAACTGGGAATCCCAGGCCAGGCACATATTACCAATAACCTCGTCCTCGCAGTAATGATTCATGGTGGCTCTGGAGGGCCTGTCAGAAGACTGAATGTTAAGGAAGGAAAAGGAGCCTCTGGTCTAGAGTCAGGGTGAGGAAGGAGGGTGGTGAGTGTCCTGTGGGAATGGAGAGACTATGATGAGGTTGGAGGCCTGGCAGATTAAAGGACAGTAGGGAAGGGGGTATCCTGTCACAGTGGTGAGCCACAAAGGCCAGGGGAAGGTTTCATTTTAGGGGGTAGTAGTATCATTTTTCCAGAAATTTCCAAGTTCAGAGAAGAAAGAATAAGAGACTTCATTGGGAACCTTCTAGAAATTCAGAGAAGGGTTATAAGCCCAGAAAGGCAAGAGAGACGAGGAGGGGTTGTAGGGTTGTAGATCCAGGACCTAAGAGCACGCTTTGTTCTTTAAAGTTTAGACATGAAATGTGACCAAAGGCATCAAGCAAAAGTTTTGTCAAGGTAGGGGGAAAGTCTGAGGTGCAAGGTAGTGTGAATAGGATATGGAAATTGAAGGGGAAAGGGGCCAATGTGGAAATAAATACTTTTAGGATCAAATCAAGGCAGGTTGGTAGCAGAACCAGACGAGAGAGTGAGGCAGATACCTGCCTTGCAAAGACCTAGCACTGTGGCATTGTCCTCCTTTGGTTCATCGGTTTTGCTCGAGTGGGCCCAGTAACATTGTGAGACTTGTTTTTACTGTGTTTGGCATATCAAATACAGCACAGGGAACAAAAATCTAAAATAAATAAATAAATGAATCGCTCAGTAATACATCTCCGAACCAATTAAAAAAGAATGCTGAAGTCTGGGGATCTAGAGATAGTACATCGGGTAAGTTGTTTGCCTTGCACACGGCTGACACTGGTTCAATTCTCTGCACCCTATCCGGTCCCCTGAGTCTACCAGGAGTGACCCATGAGTGCAGAACTAGGAGTAAGCCCTGAACACCACCACGTGTTGGCCCCCAAACAAAACATCAAAGTCAATGCAAAACTCTGCAGTGAACAAAATACAACATCATTGTTGATTGTGGATTTGGGAGTCGGGGGAAGGAAGGGCAGGATTACCTTTTTTAAAAGATTACCTTTTTTAAATAATGGATCAAAATTATGCTGGGAAGTTTTTGGAATGCATATCAACTTTTTAATTTTTCCAAAATGGATCAAAATTAATAGTGTGGCTTGGGGGAGGGTAAACAAATTCATGCTGGACCATGGATTTTGCTATTTTATTTCTTGCATGGGGCTGGAACGGTAACACAGTGGGTAGGGCATTTGCCTTGCATGCGGCCGATCCAGTGACTGAGTTCGATGCCTCCGCTCCTCTCGGAGAGCCCAGCAAGCTACCGAGAGTATCTTGCCCGCACGGCAAAGCCTGGCAAGCTACCCGTGACTTATTTGATATGCCAAACACAGTAACAACAAGTCCCACAATGTTACTGGGCCCGCTCAAGCAAATCAATGAAAAACGGTGCTACAGTGTGGTGCTATTTCTTGCATGAATTTTGATTTCCAAAATATATTAAGATAACTGAGGTTTGGCTCCTTTGACTGAGATGGAAACTTTAGCCCCTGTGTCTTGGACTTGGTCCCTGCACAGGAAATGGTTCCTTCTGAGTACGGACAATGGTGCTTCTCTCTCTAAGCTCCCCCAAACTGCCTGACACGACCCACCCTTTTTGAGATTTCCATGCCCGGCCAGGCTCGATCCCCACATCTCTCCCATTCTCTTTCCTCTCCATCTTTCCTGAGGCCCCTTTGTGGTCTCCTCAGCCCACCTTCACCTGGTGAAGTCCCCTTCTCCCTACTCCTGTCCTCTCCTTCCCCCACGGTCCCCACTTCTCTCCAGTCTCTCTTGTGTCCAGATAGACCAGCCAGAGTTTGACATTCCCCGTAAGGAAGAGCAGGAGCAGAAGATCTATGCGCAGGTAAGATGGTCCCAAAGCCAGAGCCCTGAGGTGAAGGGAAAGGCAGGGGTTCCCCCGCGCTGGGCCTGACTCTACCTCTGCCCCAGATCCTGCGGGAATACCTGACCTACCTCAACCGTCTGGGTGTCTTGCTGGGAGGAGACCCAGGCAAGGTACAAGAACATGCCTTCGCGTCCATCTCCATCACCTCACGGCTTTTCCAGTTTCTGAAGCCCCTGGAGCAGCCTTCGGCCCGGGGAACCCACTATCAGGAGGTCACCATTGACCAACTACAGGTGCCTGGGACTGGGCCCTGGGGCAGATGGGCATGGCAGGAGGGTCCCCTCCCACATCTCTGGTCCTCCTGGTCAGCTTTCTCATCATTCCCCTAAGACCTTCCCACTCGGAACTGTCCCACCCCATCGTGTCCACAGCTCTCCCCCATCTTCATCCTCTGGGGACCCTGGCCTACCCCTCATCCCCGCCATCAGTGTCTGTGTCCCCTCTCTCCCCAAGGTGATGGCCCCCGCCATTGATTGGCTGTCCTGCTTGAGGGCCACATTCACACCCATGTCACTGAGCTCTTCCGAGTCCGTCGTGGTCCATGACCTGGAGTACCTGAAGAACATGTCCTGGCTGGTGGAGGAGCAGCTGTCGAACAACAGGTTTGCCCCTTTGGGAAGGGGAGAGTGAGAGAACCCCGAGATCCCAGAACCTGGGAAGGGCCTCCTGGGAAGACTGAAGGGGTCCGGGGGACAAGGCTCGGGTGAGGTGAAGAGACAGGAAGTGGGAGAGGTTTTTTGGGGGAAGGGGCCAAGAGACACTGCATGGAATAAAGATTGGGGTGCAATGAGACCCAGGGATTCCTGGCTGCGAACCCAACCTGTGGAGAGCCTTTGAGAGGAAGCAGATGCTGGGAGGCGGGTCTTGATGGCGACTAAAAGGTGTGGAAGGGAGGAAGCAACTGGGAGAGGAGGAGCCAGACGAGGTGATACTGGATGTGCTGGTGTCGGGGGAAGCTGAGGATGTCTGTTGGCGGTGAGCAGGCTCTGCAGATCCCCAAACCCGAGAAGTCCAGGGGACGTATGTGTCCAGGTGGGGGCAGGGGAGGAGAAGGGTCTTGTTGGTTCTCTGCTCTCTTGGATTCCTAAAGACAGTGGCCTTCACCCTGGGGCTTTGCACAGTAGCTCAGCGGTGCTGAGATCTAGAAATTCCTTCTGAGGGAAGAAAGGTCCATTCGTATGGGCAAGAGCAGGAAGGTAGCACTGTAGCACTGTCTGCCCGTTGTTCATCTATTTGCTTGAGCGGGCACCAGTAATGTCTCCGTTGTGAGACTTGTTGTTACTGTGTTTGGCATATTGAATACGTCATGGGGAGCTTGCCAGGCTCTGCTGTGTGGGCGGGATACTCTCAGTAGCTTGCCGGGCTCTCCAAGAGGGACAGAGGAATCGAACCCAGGTCAGCCGCATGCAAGGCAAACACCCTACCCACTGTGCTATCGCTCCAGCCCCTCCCCTCTAGCCCTCCCCTTTACCTTCCTGCATAACCCTCCCCTGTAATCTTGCCCCCAAACCTTCCCACTATAGCCCTCCCCCACAAACCTACCCCTGTAACCCTCCCCTTTATCCTTTTCTATAACCCTTCCCTGTAACCTTCCCTCAGGAAGGTACAGAAAGAAATCTAGGGGCTGGAGCAATAGCACAGTGGGGAGGGCATTTGCCTTACAAGCAGCTGACCCGGGTTCAATTCCCAGCATCCCATATGGTCCCCCGAGCACCGCCAGGAGTAATACCTGAGTGCATGAGCCAGGAGTAACTCCTGTGTATTGCCGGGTATGACCCAAAAAGCAAAGAAAGAAAGAAAGAAAGAAAGAAAGAAAGAAAGAAAGAAAGAAAGAAAGAAAGAAAGAAAGAAAAACAAATCTAACCAGCCGAGTTGCCAGGGTTGAGCCAACCCAGTCAACCTGCATCCGAAAAAGGCATCCGGTAGAGAGCAGAATTTGATTGTGGCATCCACACATCCACATTCTCCCATGGCAGTCCTGTCTTCACCTGGCCCAGACCCTCCTCCCTCTTCGGCCCCAGAGGCCTGTCCTTCCATTCCAGGTCATCCCTGGTCATCCTTCTGCTCACACCAAGAAGAACGCTTTTGCACGTTCCAAGTGTCCGGCTATTCTCTCTGAATCCAGAGGAGAGCAAGACTTGCCTGGGGCCCTCAGGGGGAGAAGGGTTTTCTAGGGGCCCCCCAGAGCTTCAGGATCATATCCACAGGTGTCCTCTCTCCACAGGGACTTTCTGCAAAGCTACATGATCTTGGGGTTGGCGGGGACTCTCGCTCCAGCCCTGGACAGTCAGTTCCAGGAGGCACGCAGATCGTTGAACCAGAAGCTGCGGGAGCTCACGGAGTGGCCACCTGTGGTGAGGAGGGGCAGCGAGGGGCCCACGTCGGGGGCTGGAGGAGCAGCCCCATTTGGAGGGATACATGTCTGCATCTCGCTCCCAGAGGTGGGCACCCCAAGTGTCTGGGATTTTCCTTTTGCAGGTCAGGCCTGCAAAAGTTCACTGGAGAACAGAATGAACAGATCTGGGGCCTTTGCACGAACCTCCATGGGCTGCTCAAAGGGACTTTTGCCAAGTGTCAAAGGTCAAACATGAACCGGAAATGATCCAGACTTGCTTTCGCTCTCTCAGGACCCTTAACCTATTTGCTAAGAAATTCTGAGCTTTGTGCCTGGAGCAGCTGAGCCTAAGCTCAGGGTTCCCTAGGAGGGAGACAGGTGTGGGAGAGAGGCCTTCCCTATGTCCAGGGGGTTCTGAGGGGGCTACTCAATGCTCTTTGCCTAGAGTTCTCTGACATCCTGCGTCGGGTCCCAGGTGAGCAGTTGAGGTAGCATAAGAAGGGCCTCTTCATCCTCTGCTAACCCAAATGCACTCTGTGACCTGAGATGAACTTCCTCTAAGAGTAACCTTGAAATCTAAGAGTAACCTTGAAATCCATGCCCCCATCAAGGTGAAGGAAACTAGAACAGGGAATAACATCCCAGACTCAGCACAGTTCTCAGCTTGGGTCTTGACAAAATCATTATTGCCATGGCTGTTTTGAATAATTTGAGGACCATTCTCTGCCTTGGAGAAACTCACTGTTTTGATAACCTGAAATAGCTGTGGAATCCAGAGAAGACAATGCAAGCACAGGCATGGAATGCTCTTATGGCTCTGGGGGAGCTGACAGCGTGAGAGTCATTTTTCTGAGCCCTTTAGCCACAAAAGCTGGTTTAATCCTCACAATTCCACGTCCAACAGCCCCTGCTTTACGATGGGAAGACGGGGACATGAAAGTGGGAGACACGGGTAATGGCCATTGAGCTAGGAAGTTGGCTGAGAGTCAGCATTTGCTGTCTGCTTTGCTTGCTTTTGCCTATGTGCTTACTTGTTGTGGCCCCACAAAGCACTCTTGCTGATGGGCAAGTCCTTGATTTTTCCAAAGATTCTGTCCAGTTTTTCCATGAACTCAGTTGCTGTCAAAGATAACTCCAATATCTTTTCATTGCGTCTGATCAGTAAAACGCAGCTCCCTGTAAATCTCAGAACTACAGCCTGGTGCATTTTATGAAAGGCATAAGGTACAAATACTGAAACTCATACCTCAAGGACTGGAGCGATAGCACAGTGGTAGGGCATTTGCCTTGCACGCAGCCAACATGGCCAACCCAAGTTCAATTCCTCTGCCCCTCTCGGAGAGCCCGGTAGGCTCCTGAGAGTATCTCACCCGCACGGCAGAGCCTGGCAAGCTACCCGTGATGTATTCGATATGCCAAACACAGTAACAACAAAAGTCTCCAATGGAGATGTTACTGGGTCCACTCGAGCAAATCAATGAACAATGGGAGGACAGTGACAGTGACATAACTCAAGAAGTTAGAAAGCTAATTAATGGCCTTTCCTAATCTCTACCATATGCCTCTGCTTTATATGTTTATGTATTATACCCATATTGGGGGACCCTCCCAAGCACTGCTCAGTGCTGCACCTTGGTGCTGGAAGACAAACCAGGTCAGCCACATACATAAGCCCTAACCACTGTACTCTCCAGCTCTTATATATTTATTTGTACTCAAACTAGGACGTGTACTTCCTGATGTTTAAAATCCAAATCAGGTTTTATTAACGAGTAATTGGGTGACTTTTGGAAACCACCTTACTGAGATTTCTGGCACAATGGTACCAAGTTTGACGCATAATAATAACTAACGCACATAGAGTAACTAAAAATATGTCAGGTGTGGAGCACTGTTGATTTGTTGGTGGAGAACAGATGATTTTATTTCATCTACCTAGAACCAACACACCTGAGGTCCTGAGAAAGGGCAAGTAACTTTCCCAAGACCGTTTTCTTCAGCAGTGAAGAAAGAGGCTCCACAATAAATCTCTATGGCTCCTGCATCTCAATCTTCAACCACACAGTGTGCAGGATTGAGAAATTAGAGGGTGCTACAGAAAATGATTGGCAAATTCTTTCTGTAAAGGTCAAGAGAGTCATATTTTTGGCTTTGGAGTCCATATGTTCTGTGTTGCAATGACTCAGCGCTGCCCTGGTATGAACAAAAGCTACTGTACGGTAAGGACATGAGTGAGTGCAGCTGTGTTCCAAGAAAACTCTGGTTTAGACAATAGATCCTCTTGGAATTTCCAAGAGGGAGAGATCTGGGCGGGTTTGCATGACTAGCAGGATTTCTTTGCAGACGCTGTGACAGAAGCAGTGTCTAGAGAGAAGGGCTTTTAGCAGAGAAATGGTTATCGGTTCAGGAGGGGCAAAACTTGGTTCAATGTGTTGGATGTTGGGCAGCTGTGCGTGCTGCTCACTGGGGCATCCCTGGGTGCCCGTGAATAAAAAAGGGGCCTAGCAAGTGGATTGAGAGCAAGTTGACTCATCACAGGAGGGAAATCAGAGAGAAAAAGGAGAGCAGGCAGGGCCAGGCAGTCCCTGAAAGAATAGCACTGAGGTTCTGTCCTCCCATTGTTCATCAATTTGCTCAAGTGGGTACCAGTAACTTCTCCATTGTGAGACTTGTTGTTACTGTTTTTGGTATATCGAATACGCCTCAAGGAGCTTGCCAGGCTCTGCCATGCAGGCAGGATACACTCGGTAGCTTGCCGGGCTCTCTGAGAGGGATACAGGAATCAAACCTGGGTCGGCCGCGTGCAAGGCAAATGCCCGACTGCTGTGCTACTGCTCTGCCCAGCTGGAGAGATAGTACAGCGGGTAAGGCCTTGCATGCAGCCTACCAGTGTTCAATTCCCAGCATTCCATATGGTCCTCCAAGCACCTCCAGGACTAATTCCTAAGTGCAAAGCCAGGAGTAACCCCTGAGCATCACCAGGTGTGACCCAAAAAGCAAAAAAAAAAAAAAAAAAATTTAAAAATATATTTCCTGAAAGAATATTTAACTTTTTTCTTTGGCATAAAACGAGGGCCTATCAAACTATTTTTCTGTTTTGTGTTTTCAAAAAATGTGTTTTGAAACTGAGCAACAGGATTTCCTGAGGGATATATGGAAAGAGATGGAGAGTGGAGTTGAAGACCTCACCAAATTTTTGACCCCAGTTGAACTTGTAATGTGTTGTCCGTCCCTATTGTCATTAATTACAGGTTTCTAACCAAAGTCTCCTAGTGAATGCTAATTTATAGTGTCCTGATCCAGGAAGATTCACAAGGCTCAATCTATCACCATAATTTTAAAACATTTTTGTTTTTTCGTTTAATTACTTATTTAAATTAATTTTTATTAAGGGACCATGATTTACAGTTATTTATCATTGAGTTTCAGGTAGACAATGTTCTAATGCCAACCCCAGTCCCACGGTCATCTCCCCTCCACCACTGTCCCCAGGTTCCCTCCCAATCCCCAGTCTGTCTCCTTGACAGGCACATTTCTTAAGTTTTGTGGTTGTTGTTGGATCTCTTTCTTTCAGTGTTGCTGTCCCTGTGGTTTAGCTGTAGATATATCACATCTCAATACCAACAATGTGACTTGGGTCTATGATCATATTTTATAGATTAATATTGAGTATGCAGTCAAAGAAAATGGCTGTTAATCAAGTTTTTCTCTGATAAGAAGCTGTATCTGGAGAAGCAAAGGATTTCACTTTTGCCTGTTATATGTGAATTATTTATATTCACCCCAGTTTTTCCAGTAATTTTTAGGCTTTGTTTCAATCATCCACAATATTATCCTTTAATGTTTGATCATGGGTCTTTGGTAGTTTTATTTAGTGTCTTCCTCTAGACTTCAGGACTATGGCTAGACTTTCCTGAGCAGCAAAGGCTATCAGGTCAGGTTCCTAAGGCCCTTGCTGTTGCTCTAGGTATTTGTTAATACTAATTATCTAAATTACTTTCTGAGCACAGGCTATTTGTCAGACAATTCTCTAAGCACTTAGGATACCACAATGAACAATGAAGGGGGAGAAAAAACCCTAGTCCTGGACATTGTCTTCAAAAACTTTAATGGCAGAAGACAGACAATAAAGTAGCTAAATAAAACCAAGTTAGGTGGTAACCAACGTCATGGAGAAATGCAGGAGAGAAAGAGGGAGGGATGGCCATGTTTGTGAGGTGGGATGCTGATTACAATGTCAGTAGCACAGTCAGGGATGTTCATATCAACTTGGAGTCATGAATCATGAATCATTATTCTGCCAGCTGAGAATCTACCCCAATTTCATTCCTATCCAACATAGATTCCCCACCCCCAACCCCCCTCTAATTCACAAGGACTTGAAATCAAGATGATAGCTATAGAGTGGCCTGCATTTAGAATCTACTTCTGGTACATTTTCTGATCTTCCAGAGAAATCTAGTGAGAACTTGTGGAAGGGAGAATGCGTGCTTAGGTATGAGTTTCCTGTTCACAGCTGGTATGACCAACGTTGATAATTTAGTAAGTGTCAAATGCTCTGTTCGGAGGGAATATGGTGGTAGTTGTGGATGAATCTTGCCGTAGTGGTATTTTGTTGACTTTTAGAACTTTGAACAGACTTAATGGCCAACATTAAAAAATTAGGTGATGCGAGTTTGATTCTTCCGCCCCTCTCGGAGAGCCTGGCAAGCTACCAAGAATATCTCGCCCACACGGCAGAGCCTGGCAAGCTACCTGCGATGTATTTAATATGCCAAACACAGTAACAAGTCTCATGATGGAGATGTTACTGGGCCCGCTCGAGCAAATCGATGAACAACGGGAGGACTGTGACTGTGACTGGTATATAGTCAGATGGCTATAGTCAGATGGTCAGTCTTATTTCATTTTGTACACATGATGCTCCAGCAACTTTGGGCACTTCTTCAGTTGGCCAGAGTTAGTGACGTAGTGGGTTTGGACTGAACAAGCTCTCTTATGCATTCTCCCTCTATGCCTGGGGGTTTTGAACTTGGCTACATCTCTCAATAAAGTAGCTGTGTTTCCCCCATTTGACCCAACAACATCTGCTCCGTGATCAGTCCTTGGGTGGCGAACCTTTAAACCATAAAGATTTTTATTATTTTGACATTATTTGTCCAGGGAACCTACACTGGCCCTCAGTAGTTACACATTATTTTCTAAGTAGTCACAAAACACTTTGTTTAATGATTCATTCTAGAATCTTCTTTAGAAATTAACATTAAAGATTCCTGGCTGGCCTGTAATCTCTAAAATCTGCTTTCCCATCTACTGAAATGGGGTGCATGTTTGCTTCCCTTGGATTCCTGAAATTTTTCCTGACTTCTATCATTTCTCAAATATTTTATTCATGATTCTAGAGTTATATCAGTAACCCTTGCCCTGTGCCCTAAAATTAATCTACCAAGCTTCATTATCTTGCATTTGAAGTATTTCTTCCATCCTTTACATTTTCATAGTATATCTTACATACTTTTCCCTCTCAGTGTTTTCAGTATACATGGTATATTATATCACTGGTGTCTTTATGGATAGAAAAGATACTCATAAACCCCAGTCGGTGAATATATAACCTGCCAATCTCCATCCCCAAGGTCTGCGTTTATTTATAGACTCTGAAAGTTATTTTCCTGCTCATGGAAAATGTGATCCCGCATGAGTGTGACCAAAAGAACTCCGGTATTGCATAGGTGTGAGCACTGAATGTGTAGTTTGGGGTGGCAGCCCTACTCCCCCATAACCAATTGGACCCACCATAGCCTCAGTTGTGGGGCCCTGCAGCCACAGGCTTAGGTGGTGGGAGACGTAGAACCAGGCAAAGGCATCAGGAAGCCTCTTCAAGAACCAGTAGGTGTAGGAAGATCTGAAAGAATCTCAACACCAAATTAAGGCCTGAGCTGTGAACTTAAGATGTACCCCTGCTATAGCCCACTCTAGCAGAGACTAAAAGGCAGCCCCAAAGCCAAGGTAGCTCACGGGAGCAGAGGAATGGGCTCCAAAGGGGGGGGGGGTCACACTTGACCCAGTCCTTGCTCTTTCACCCACCTTGACTTGAAATTTATGCTTATTTTTGTGTTCGTTTTGGAACTGCAACTCACACATTATAGGAAATCATCCAATTCCATGCTAGACCCAGTGGTCTGGAAACAAGAACTCATAGAAGATAAATCATCCTAATAGGCCAGCCCTAGTGTTTGTCCAATGACCCCAGGCTTGCCTTTCTCTCTCAAGCTCCCATTCATGGAAAACCCCATGAACTCTCTCTCTCTCTCTCTCTCTCTCTCTCTCTCTCTCTCTCTCTCTCTCTGCAATCTTAAGGTGAAAGAGTGCAGTGCAGCCTAACCCCCTGCCCCATGAGGAGATCTGTGGGAGTAAATAAGTTACAGGAATGAAGTCTTGTGACTTCATCCCACTCAACCCGAATTAACATATTAGCTGGTTCTTCCAGAGACCCGGCTCACCTCCCCTGAGGCCAGCTCTGCTGTTCCTGCCCCACTGGGACAGGGTTTTCTCCGTGAACAATACCACTCCTCAGTCAGCTCCTTAAAGCTGTCCCAGAGCTCCCCAGCATCTCTCTCTCATTCTTTGTTGTTGTCATTTTCGGTTGGGTTGTTGTGTTATATTTTGTTTTGTTTTGTTTTTCAGTTTTTGGGCCATTCCCAGAAGTGCTCAGGGCTTAACTCCTGGCTCTGTGCTCAGGGATCATGGACAATGATCTTGATGATCATATGGGGTACCAGGGGTGGGACCTTAGTGCATGGAAGTCAAGAACCCCACTCATGGTACTATTTCTCCAGATCCTTTCTAAATAAAACCAAGTTAGGTGGTAATCAACATCATGAAGAAATGCAGGAGAGAAAAGGGATGTTTATCTTTGACCTCTTGATCAAGGAAATACCCCATTCACTAAGGCACTCTGACTTTTTGTCTAACAGCCTCTAACCTCTAAGACTGAAGACCACAGTCACTGTTTTAGTTCCTTTCCCAGTTTTGGCTGTCTCTTAAGTTTCTGAACTCGTATCTTTAGCTCTTTCTTTTGTCCTCTTCTCTAGCAATTAATATGTCATCTAAACTCAAACTCAATGGGATAACTTTCTTTTTATTTTTTTTTATTAGTGAAACACCATGAGGTACAGTTGTAGACTTACAAACTTTTGTGCTTGGGTTTCAGTTATACAATGATCGAGTGCCGATCCCTCCACCGGTGCCCATTCTCCACCACCAATGATCCCAGTAGCCCTCCCACCCGTCCACCCCATCACCCCCACCCACCCCGCCTTTGTGGCAGGGCATTTCCTTTTGCTCTTTCTTTCCTTTAGGGTGTTGTGGTTTGCAATAGAGGTATTGAGTGGTCATCATGTTTGGTCTATAGTCTACTTTCAGCACGTATCTCACATCCTGAGCAAATCCTCCAAACATCCTTTACTTGGTGTTTCCTTCTCTGTCTGAGCTGCTTTTTCCCCCATCATGTGCTGCCAGCTTCCAAGCCGTGGAGCAGACCTCCTGGTATTTATCTCAACTATTCTTGGGTGTTCGTCTCCCATTCTATTACTTTATATTCCCCAGATGAGTGCAGTCTTTCTATGTCTATCCCTCTCTTTTTTGCTCACTTCACGTAGCATGATACTTTCCATGTAGTTCCACTTGTATGTAAATTTTATGACTTTATCTTTTCTAACAGTTGCATAGTATTCCATTGTGTAGATGTACCAAAGTTTCTTTAACCAGTCATCTATTCTCGGGTGCTCGGGTTTTTTTTCCAAATTTTGGTTCAACAATGAACATAGAAGTGCAGATGTCATTTCGACTGTACTATTTTGCCTCTCCAGGATATATTCCCAGGAGTGGTATTGCTGGGTCATAAGGGAGCTCAATTTCTATTTTTTGAGAATCGTCCATACTGTTTCCCAAAAGGGCTGAACCAGTCGGCATTCCCACCAGCAGTGAAGGAGGGTCCCTTTCTCGCTATATCCACACCAACACCAGTTGCTTTTTTTCTTTTTTTTAAATGTTATTTATTTATTTATTTATTTGCTTTTTTGGTCGTACCAGTGATACACAGGGAAAACTCCTGGCTCTGCACTCAGGAATCACTCCTGGCAGTGCTGGGGGAATCATATGGGATGCTGGGAATCAAACCCTGGTTGGCCGCATGCAAGGCAAACACCCTACCCACTGTGCTATCTCTCCAGCCCCGCTTTTGTTCTTTTGGATGTGGGCCAGTTCCTGTGGTGTGAGATGATATCTCATTGTTGTTTTGATCTGCATCTCACTGATGATTAGAGATGAGGAGCATTTTCTCATGTGCTTTTTAGCCATTTGGGTTTTTTCTTTGAGAAAGTTTCTGTTCATTTCATCACCCCATTTTTTGATGGGGTTGGATGCTTTCTTCTTGTGGAGCTCAACCAGTGCTTTGTATATCCTTGATATCAACCCCTTATCGAAGAATGGGAAAGGATATTCACCCAATAACTTTCTTTGTCACTGCACAGGATCCTCTGATGTGATTCACAGTCCCTATTGGAGGATGGGGTCAGGAGGCAGAAGAGAGGGCAAGAGCCTTCTCCACCAATGACCGTTTTGAGCAAAGCCACATGGGAAGAAGGGTATTCATATGTGGGTTGGGTGGGGACAGGACAGCCAACACCCCTGCTAAGATGAGTCTTCTAGTCTTCTTCTTTTCAGGGGCCTTTTGGTTCTCCAGAAAAGACTTCCAAGAGCTCAGGCTTCCAAATTCAGTAGCTGGCCAGCATGCATGCTTTGCCCAATCCAGTCCCATGAAAGCAATTCAGGAGCAAAACGTCTGGTCCTCTGGGCTGAGCGGCAACAGTCTCATGTACATCCTCCAAAGGAATAATCAAATGATGCAAACCCACTATGGAGATGGAGCTCTGTAACCAGGTGATGGGCCAGAAAGAAGCGGGGAGGGAGACACTCATTCTGGCTTTGTCGTTGCAGCCTGAAAGCCCTCGATGGATGGAGTGTGTGGAGAAAACAGGAACCTTCTTTCAGTCCACCCTGGCGGCTTTGTTCCTGCGTGAGGCCTTCAGTCCCAGCACCAGAAGTGCGGTATGTGAGGGGGCTTCCCTGGCCCACTGCCCTCTGCCTCTTCCCACCCAACCCATCTCTTCCTAATTCTCATTTGCTTTGCCTTTCCCATGGGTCTGCATGGTCAGGGAATCAGGCATACAGAGAGAGAGAGAGAAAGAGAGACAGAGACAGAGACAGAGACAGAGAGATAGAGAGACAGAGAGACAGAGATAGAGTCAGAGACAGAGACAGAGACAGAGAGAGGAAAGAGAGAGAGAGAGAGAGAGAGAGAGAGAGAGAGAGAGAATGTGTGCTCATGCCAAGAAGGTACCAGTCACCTCACTGTCCCACTCTTGCATTTCTTCAACCACAAAATCAGAGTTGAACTCCCTCACTCCCTCTAAGGCAACTCTATCCTTTTCTCACAACAGATGAGAAACAGTGTGAGAAAGGAATGTTATAATCTTGAGAGATGCAAATAAATAACTACAAAATGCCTTTTTGGGGGTTCTTTGTTTTGGGGTGACACCCAGTGACGCCCAGGGGTCACTCTACTCTGCACTCAGAAATTACTTTTGGTGGTGCTCAGGGGACCATATGGGATGCTGGGAATCAAACGTGGATTGGCTGCGTGCAAGGCAAGCGCCCAACCCACCGTCCTATTGCTCCAGCCCTCCTGTACTTATAACTCTTGTTGTCAGCACTGGCCAAGAATCACTCTGCTTCTGAGCATCACCTGAAGGGGAGCTTGGACTTGGGATTAAGGCATTTGCCCCATCTCTGGGCAGAGAAGGGGCTGAGGGGCACATTGTACTCTGATTCTGAGAGCCTCACTTAGCTGAGATCCAGGCCAAAACACCCCATGGGAAGGAACTCCTGGGCCACCCCTTTTTCTCTGTGCCAACACCTCCTCTCTACCTGCACGGACCTCACGCCCTGGAGGCTTTGGGGTCCCAGAAAACTTTCCATGTTCTCTTCCCCCGTTCCTGTTGCCTCTCCTTCTCTGCTCCAGACCCCTGACACGAGCTGGTTCTGAATTCTGATCCAGTCTCTGCTCCCGCATCTCACCCCTGCCAGGCCATGGAACTATTCAGTGCCATCAAGGAGGCCCTTGTCACCCGACTGAAGAGGCTCCACTGGATGGATGACAGAACCCGGAAAGAAGCTCAGGACAGGGTGAGGCCAGAAGGGAGGGACAGGGAGGGGATGTGGCAGCTGGTATCAAGTCCTGGATGCACGGGGGAGGGGGGGGGTGGGGATGGAGGGTGAGGAGGAAATCCCAACAGCTGGAGGAGACATTGAAAGGCACTAGGGACATACCTCTCTGTGGTTCTGGGAGCTGAGGGCCACAGAAAAGGCTGAGATAGGGCAAGGCACAGGAGCGAACCCTCCCTTTTGCTCAGGGGAGCGAGGAGCCTTCTACCTCGTGCCTCTCTCCTCAGGTCGCCCAGCTGCGTGTGAAGATGGGGCCCTTTGACTGGGCCCTGAAGCCGACGCTGGTCGGAGAGGACTCTCAGGACGTGGGTCCCTGCTGGGGCATTGCCCTTAGTGTGCAGCCTCTCCTGCCTGGTCCTGCTGAAAGGGGGCGGGCCCCCTTCCCTTGGTCGACCCTCGCTCACCTGCCCCTTTCTTGCTCTGGTGCAGGCTGGGCTTCTGAGGGCTGCTGGCTTCAGGCTGCAATGCTAGACGAGAGTGTGTGCTCAGAGCCACCTGCCTTCTTGACTCTTGTCTGAGTGTGTGTCCGAGGGCTTGTGTATTCGAGAGCTCATGTGTCTGAGTGTGTGAAGCCCGTCTGACCTACGGGTGGTGGTGTTTGTGCTGGCTCGCACTTCATTGGTGTGTGTGTGTGTGTGTGTGTGTGTTTGTGCTCTCATGTGTGTGCATGCATACATGTATGTGCATGTGTGTATATGCATGCATGTGTGTGCATGTGTGTGTGTTCATATGTGCGCGTGTGTGCATATGTGTGCGTGTGTGTGCATGTGTGTGTGTGTGTGTGTGTGTGGCTGCGGGGGATGTCCCACGGGCATGTCTATTGTCCAAGTGTGTCCGAGCCCCTTTCTGCTTCCTTCCAGATCCAACTCGGACCCAGCTTCCTGCAGTCCGTCCTCAGCTGTGTCCGATCTCTCCGAGCTAGGAACATCCGGAGCTCTACCCAGCCACCATCCTCCCAGCCCAGGTCAGAGAGGGATGCCAACCTCCCAACGGCCCCGTAAGCCTGCCAGGAAGGGCATCCGGGGCTCCCACGGGGAGGGCCTCTATTGACCTGCGCTCCTCTCCACAGCCCCTGGGAGGTCAGTGCTTACTACTCAGTACCTGAGCATGTGGTGGTCTTCCCGGCTGGACTCCTGCAACCCCCCTTCTTCCACCCTGGCTACCCCAGGTAGGGGTTGTGCTGTGAGGGCAGGCGGGGGGTGTCCAAGAGCACTGCTCTTGGACAGATGCTACTGCGGAGGGGTCTCTCTTGTGTTGGAGACTGGGGGTGCTGGCCTGGCAGGATAGGGGGTGACACACCCTGGTCTCCCTAGAGCTGTGAACTTCGGTGCTGCCGGAAGCATCATGGCCCGTGAGCTCTTGCGCATCTTCGACCAGCTCTGTGGGTAACAGCGGGCCAGTGGGAGGGGCCCGTGGGCACTCAGGAAGGGAGAGGGGGGTTACTGAGGGGCTCCATGAGGAGGGCCCACTGCTAGGAATACCCAAAGTGATAATACCCCCTGCCCTCAACCTTTACCACGTCTCACCACTTTCCCTTGCCCCCTTTCCACAGTGCTCCCTGGAGGCTGTCCAGCCTGTGATTCTCGTGCCCTGGAGGGGGCGCTCCTGTGCCTGGAGCATCACTATGCGGCCCTTTCTCCACCTGGCGGAAGTCCCTTCATCAGCTCCCACACACTACTGGAAAGTGCCGCGGATCTGGGGGGGCTGGTCACTGCACTTCAGGTGACTCACCTCCCAGTGGCTGGGATCAGCTGTACCTGCAGAATGGACATGCTACCCCTAATTCTGCCTCTTGCCTCCCCTACTCTATACATGGTCACCGAGCTTTTGGCCCTATGCGCCCCTCCTGGGCATGTAGGGGACTCTGCACAGACTCTCTCTCTCTCTCTCTCTCTCTGGGGTCTCCCTCCATAGTGTTTTGGCAAGTTTGCTTTGCCGGGTTTAGACTCTTCTGCCTATGCCCAGGAGATGGAGCCATGACCTGGGTTGAGGGGGGTATTGGATGCCCAAGTGGCCATGACCATGGACCTAATGGGACCACTCTCTGTCCCACATCCAGGCGTACAACAAGAGGCTCTTAGGGCACCGCGGGGAGACTACCCTGCCTGAAATGGACCTCAGACCCCACCAACTCTTCTTTCAAAGCTACGCCCAGGTAGGAAGCTCTACCTCACACCTCAGCATGCTCTAGGCACCTTTCCTCATGACCTACCACCTTCGGCCGTGGAAACTCTTTCATAACACTCCATCTTACCTGGCCTTTCACAATACTACTAAGTCTTCTGTTAAAAAAAAAATCTCCCCCAAAGCCCTCCCAAGGATGAGCCCAACTTGATTCTTCCCTCTCACTCTTTCCTAGTACAGAGCCTCCCAAATGAGCCTTCTCAGACCATCCACAGACCATAGGCTACCTCAGAGACCTCCCCCCTGTGGGTGATCCCCACTTGTTTTAACAGTTCCCTTCTAGGACCACCCCCTTGCTCCACAGTCACTTCCCCTAATTCCACACCCTACTTCCAGACCCCTCACAGAGAGTTTTTTTGGGTAGAGGTGGCTTTGGGTTATACCTAGTGATGCTCAGAGGTTACTCCTGGCACTCTGCACTCAAGAATTACTCCTGACAGTGCTCAGGGGACCATATGAGATGCTGGGCATCAAACCCAGGTAGATGGTGTGCAAGGCACAAAGCCTACCCACTGTACTATCACTCCGTCCCCCTCACAGAGAGGTCTCACGGGCTTTACCTTTCACTCACTCACATCCACTGTGCTGACATGGCCCATCCCCTCGACCCGACGCCCACTGGGCCATAAATGATCTACCAACGGCAAACACGCCTCTCTCTCGACGTGGCCTTTGAGCCCTCCCTGTCCTGCGCTCATTCTTGTCGGCTGTCCCTGTCCCTGCCTAGTCCCCAGGTCTGCCTGTCCAACTACCCCAGTCTGTGTGGGGCGTCTGCTAATCTCCTTACTTGTGGGGACCCTTCTTTGTCCCCAGATGATGTGTAGGCAACTCAGTGACCAGGATGCTCGAGAGAAGCATAGCCCTCCCATCCTTCGAGTCCATGGATCCCTGAGCAACACCCGGGCCTTCTCCAAATATTTCCACTGCCCTCGCAGTGCCCCTCTGAACCCCTCCAACCGTTGTCAACTCTGGTAACTGGGTCGCCAAAGAGATCTATGGACAACAATCCACATCACCCAGCTCCATCCAGGGGACTAAACAGGGCCCACATCTCCCTCTTGTCTGCTCCAAAAAAAAATAAGAACAAGAACTTGGCTTCTGTCTCTGGATGACTCTTTTCTCCTGTGTACTGGGCTTAGAAGTCAGAGAAGACCAGAGGAAATGTCCCCAGTAGGGGCCCCTTGTAGGAGAAAAGGAAAGGGCCCAGGGCTGGTGAGCTGGTGGGTCTAAAGGTCGGTGGACTGAAGGCTGGGTGATTAGAGATAGCAGACAAAAGGGCTTTGGTCAAGCTTGAAAGCTGCCCCCTATTGTCTTCAGGACTTTATTGCTATTATTTTTATTTTGCTGCCTCCACCCTCAAAGCCAGGGACCGTGTTGGAGAGACAAGGGTGAGGGGCTGGTGTGTCTCGCCTCAAGGTCTGGAATGGCACAAGTGGGGTGGCGATTGGACACTGCAGATGGGCAGATTCAGGAAACTCTCAGATGCTGCATTGGAGAGGTGCAGAGTCACAGGCTGGAGCGGGGGCTCGGGGGTGGGAGGGCGAGGTTGGGAGGGGGGTGCATGTGCATGCGTGAGCACGTGTGGGTCCCACAAGGAGTCAGTAAGCAATCATGAAGCGAAGGTACATGTCCAGGTCCTCCTCCAGGAGCCACGCCACCATCTCCACCTCGACGTCCCTCATAAAAAAACCACGATGCTGGCCAGATTGAAGCAGAAGGCCAGGTCGAAGACGTAGGTGTGGACGGAAGTTGACTTGGACACACTCTGCATCATGTCCGCCTGATGCCACATGTCCCCGTCCGAAAAGGCGTAAAAGTGTTCTTTATACTCCGCTTGATTCTGGTCTGGAGTGGGGAAGAACAGATGGTGCTGAAAACACAGGTCCTGACTGTGGCCTCCTAACCTCGACTCTGGCCTAAGATGGAGAAGTCGGAAGACAGGTGCGGGGTTGGGGGTGGGGGAGGAGAACCAGGACCCGGGGCCTTGAACTCTATTCCAGGTGGAATGTGGCCTCCCCATAACCTTGGCCCAGACCCGGAGGCCACATTCCAGCTACAGGTCACTTCTGATCCGTGTGATACCCGGGCACTGACTCAAGTGCGCACACAACACACTTCCAACGTCCACAGCTGCGTCCCTGGTGTACCCCATTAAGGGCCTGCATGGAAAAGGAAACCAAAGCTTTGTAGATACTTGCGCTGACTCAATGGGCCCCTGAGAAGGGCCCTGGTGGAGGATTTCTGCTCCAGAGTCTTCACCATACTTCTAGAACCTTCTCCATCTCACACCACAACAACAGAGGCTAGAAGGGAGACTTTTCTCAAAGTGCCCATTTCCATGAGATTTTTCCTTTGGCTTGATCACTCCCTCTGTGGACTGAATCCGCTCTGCACACCCCCTCCCCACCCTTTCCCTGTCCCTACATTTCCCTTGGTGTGGGGGCCATACCCAACAGTGCTTAGCTGGAGTTTTCTCCTGTGGGGTTCAGGGGACCATAGTCAGTGCTGGGGACCGAACCCAGGGTCAGCTGTACACAAGTGCCGTAGCCTCTGTGCTCTCTCTCTCCTGGACTGGACTCTGTCTCTTCTTCCCCTGCCACCTACCTGTGGAGGACGCCTCCTCCAGACTCTTTGCCTCGAGGTACGGGCCCTCTTTCTGAGGCTTCACTCTCTCCACACACAATAGCAGCAGCATGACTGAGAGCAACACGGCCCTGCAGAGCTGGCCTCCCGGGGACATCGTGGGCCTGCCCACCTATCGCCTCTGGGCTCCCCAGTTCCCTGAAGATCCCCCCACCTCCCTCCCTGGCCCTGGACCAGCTGTTTTCTCCTCTCAGCATGATTTTTTTCCCTCCTTTTCCAGAGCACCTCTGACTTCATGAGCTCTGTGACATCACAGCCGAGGGACCCTCTTTGGATCATTCCATTGCCAGGCCAGAGAGTGAGAGAAGGAGGCAGCAGGGACTCCCTCCCAGGAGGACTCACCTGGGTCGCCCCATGGGAGGCAGCCAAAAAAAAGCACTGAAGCTTGGGCCTGAGGGGTGGAGCAGCGGGGAGGGCATTTGCTTTCAGGCAGCCTACGGGATTCAATCCCTGGCATCCCATATGGTCCCCTGAGTCCACAAGGAGCACACATTCCTGAGCACACAGCCAAGAGTAACCCCCGAGCACCACTGTGTGTAACCCCCCATAAAAGCAAAGTATCTCAGCATTCGGCAAGTACTTCCACAGTACTGGACCACAGTACTGGACTCTACTGATGCCAAATGATGAGTAGCATCCAACCCATTATGGAGATGGGTTATAGAGGAGACTGAGGTTGCCCCACGCAGCATCTCAAAGATGAGAGGCAGCAGGCATCCGCTGAGAAACACATCTTCCCGCTCTTCCATGTAGTCTTTCTCAAAGGAAAGTGGTTTGCATGGGAAGAGGCTGGGAGGTTGGAATGAGCATCGCCCCATGATGGACAGGGCACAAAACCACGAGGATGGAGACTGCATGAAGGGTTGATGGGATGTGAGAAGACAGAGGCAGAGAGCAGGAGTAAGGCAGTGCTCACTCCTCCATGCTCCCAGCCTGACCTCTCCCCGTGTCCTGGAGGGTGGGGGACTCTACTCACTCCTTGGACCTTCTTCATCCTCTTGGACTTCGAGAAAACCTGCCCATGGTTCAGGGTCTTAACTCTTAGCTTAGAGGAAGGAGTCGCTTCGGCAGAGAAAAGGGTCCTCACCAGGGCAGAGATGAAAGCCTCCATCGGGGGGAGGTGAGGACCGCCATCAGGGGAAGGAGAGGACCCCTATTAGGGGGCAGGTGAGGGCCCTCATCAGGGGAAGGTGACGACCCCAGCAGGGGGAGGTGAGGGCCCTGGGGGGGGGTGAAGGTGAGGACCCCCATCAGTGGGAGGTGAGGGTTGCCAGCAGGGGGCAGGTGAGGCCCCCCTATCAGGAAAGTGAGGGCCCTCATTAAAGGGGGAGTGAAGGCCCCAGCAGGAGGTGGTGAGGGCCCCCATAGAGGGGGAGTGAGGACTCCCATTGGTGGGGGGAGGTGAGGACCCCCATCGGGGGGAGTGAGGGCCCCATAGTGAAGATGAGGCCTCCCACAGGGTAGGGGTTGAGGGCCGCATAGGGGAGGTGAGGGCCTTCATGGGTGGGGTAGTGAGGGCCCCATCAGGGGGAGGTGAGGGCCTCCATGGGGGATAAGTGAGGGGCCCCATGAGGTGGGGAGTGAGGACCGTCCTCAGGAGGAGGTGAGGGCCCCCATCTGGGGGGAGTTAGGGCCCCAGCAAGGGCAGGTGAGGGCTCAGTACTGGATCTCCAGAAACCTGTTTTGGGGCCCCTAGCCCTCTGCTTCCATAGTCTGGGCAGCACAGGCCTGTGGGCAGCCCTAGGACGGCCTTCCTCATCCTGCTGCCCAGAGGAAGAATGGGCGGGGCAGGCTGGCAAGGGCAGCAGAGATGTGTCCTGGAAAAGTAAGAGGAGGCGGGCTGGGAGGCAGGAGGGCTCCAGCCAGAGCCTGAGACTAGGCATGCTAGATTTATCCCCACCAGCCGTCCAGGGGGCTGTGAGCAGCACACCTATGCACTCTCCAATTGGGCTCTTCTGGGGTGGGGGAGTTGCAGAAAGTGCGGGCTTCTACAGAGAGCATCACTGCAGACCGCCTGGGACCCACCCCCAACCCACCCCCCCCCCCCCCGCCCCAGTGGCAATGTGACTGGGAAATGGTCCAGGTCACGTGAGGTGGCGAAGTAGGTTGAGGATGCAGGTGACCCTACTCAAGCGCTGCCCTCAGTGACCTGCAGGCCGGATGGAAGGGTGCTTGGGCAGACCAAAGTCTCACCCCTGTAGGGCAGATTTGTGGGGGAGGCCTATTCTCCATCTGGACTCTGGGCTTAATGGGGGCGAGGGAAAGGGGTCAGGGGGAGATTCTTCCAGGCTGTGGTGGAGTGAACTAGGTTGGACTGCCCACTGTCCCCACACACAGATGCCTCAAGGTCAAGCTGGGGGAGCCCCTCCCTGGGCTAATTGTTGCCGAGCCCCTGAGCTCCATCCCCCCAGTACTCTTGGCACTGGGCTAAGGAACACCGTCTCCTGGATCATCACAGTTTGGAGTTCGACTCAACCCCAAATGGCCCTGATCCCTGCCACCCAGAGAACGCAGCTCACACACCTGGCTCTATCCAGCACAATGGAATTTGCAGCCTTTTTTGATTCCTGTGCTTTTCTATATTTTATCTATTTGTTGGGGGGAAAAAACAAAGTTAAAGGGATCCCCAGTTTCCAGCAAGAACGAGACTCTGCAGAGGCATGGGGACAATAACCGCCAGAGGACAGAGGAGGGGGGTGTCACAGAACAGGAAGGAGAGAGAAAGGGGCCACCAGGGGATGATGCAGAATCTTAGCCAGAGGGAGGAGGGGGGTGGAGAGACCATCCAGTGGTCGGGCCCTTGCCTTGCTCACTGCTGACCGGGGTGTGATTCCCAGCACCACGTACGGGGAGATTGCTGAGAACTAAACCACGAAGTAACTTCCATTTCCAGCTGTGGTCCAGAAACAAACACACAAAATAATAATAAATTAAGAAATAAAACAGTGATAGGGGGATGAGGGTGTCTGGGAAGGCCAAACAGGAATTTCTGAACTTCTGCACCAGCACTGTGGTGGTGGTGGGTGGGGGGGCAATCTGGCCCCCCTGGGGCCACTGGCTCTTGCCCTTCCCATTGCCAAGAGGGCAGTTGGTGCCCCAGATGCTCAAGGGCTCACCCCGCTCTCCACTCAGATCCAGGGACCATGCCCTTGGTGGCCAGCCCTGTGCACCTGCTCCGTGCGGCTGGGACCAGCCCCTCCCCGCCCCCGCCTCTCTGGGACTGACTTTATGGGTTCAGTGTTTCCTCGGCGGCCCCTGCTTATCATGGCATCTACCACCCCCACCTCAAGCTTATCGCCGCCTCCATCTCCTTAGACTGCAAGTCCCAAGGCTGCACAGGCCATTTGCACCCCACTGCCCTCACGTCCAGGCAGAAAAAAAGTCCCACAAGGTGACCCCTCCTTTGTCCGGCCAGCATCAACCTTCCCTCCGGTGTGTGTGGGGGGCTGCCTCCCTCCCTCCTCTCCCACCATCCCTCTTCTTCCTCCTCCTCCTCTCAACCCTCCCCCAAAGGGCAAGTCTTCAGAGCAGCATTTTCTCACAGCACAGAGTGGGGAGATCTCAACTCTGGATAGACCCACCCCCCTAGGAAGTAAGCAGGCCCACCCAAGTCTTACAGCTGAATATACAGAAGGTCCCCCCAAGAAGCAGCACTCTGGTATGGTGGTTTAGAGTCAAGACTCCCACTTGGCACCACACGCCCTGTGCCACCTTGGAGTGGGGGTGACCATATACCCCTCCCTGGGCTTCATCTCCTTGTGTCCCACCTGTTCCCAGGTATCTCATGGATCCATCTGACGGCCTCAGCTCAGCTTTCGGGTGGGTCTCTGAGAACATAGACTCAGGGGGTCCTAAGTAACACACCACTGGCTTCTCCGTTGGTTCATTCCTCCCCCTATTTCGGGGACTCCCCGATGCGGAATAAGGAGGGTTTTGTCTTCCACCTGGCTCTGTTCCTGATGGTCCAACTCTGTGGGGAGGTGGGATTCTCTGGGGGGGGGGTCTTTTTGGACCAGGAACTGTCTCCAGGAGACTAGAGGGGGCGAGGAATCTTGGGTCCTCTCAGGGGGGGCTGACCTGAGAATCTCCTCTGGAACAAGGCTTCAAGCGACAAAGTTGATGATAGACAAATCAGGGAAACACTCCCCCCTGCTCCCCCACCCCCAGGACTTTTCAGTCCATCCCTGGGAGGAGGCTCAAAAGTTGCTTAGCTCTGTTTTTTTTTGGGGGGGGGGTGGACAGCATACTTGGCAGTGCTCAGGACTTACTCCTTGCTCTGTGCTCAGGGAGCACTACTAAAAGTGCTCCGGGGATTGCAAGCAGTGCTGGGGATCAAACCCAAGCACCCCACTGCCTGCACTGTCTCCAGCCGATGCTATCCTGGTCTTCTGCTCATACTTCAGGGACTCTTGCCCAGGAGAGTATAATCAGCAGCTCAATTCCACAGAATACAAATACACACAAAAAAACTCCCTCTCTGATTTTCTTTTTCTTTTTGGGTCACACTCGGCGATGCACAGGGGTTACTGCTGGCGGTTTTAGGAGGACCATATGGGATGCTGGGAATCGAACCCGGGTCAGCTGCATGCAAGGCAAACGCCCTACGCATTATGGTATCGCTCCAGCCCCCTTCCTCGCTAATCTTGAAGGACCGAGAGTCCGGATATTAGCCTGGGTCTCCCTAGCAGCCTAGTGATATCCTTCCTTCCTAACTTTCCTCACTCACAGAACCACCTTCCTCTGTCCTTGCTTTCCAGCCCAAAGTCTACTCCCCACCTCCCTCGTTTCTTGACTCAGTGCCCCAATCCACTGCCAGTCACAAAAATTCCCTCCCCTCTGTTCTGGGCTCTAGGGCGTGCATGAGTCCCGGGGCTCTGCCCTCTCAAAACTCCACCTCCTCCAGCTAAAAGGTGCTGTGTGGCAGTGCCCTCGGCATGCGGGCACACACACACACACACACACATCCCACAACCACCAGCTCCACAGGTTACAGCAGAGATATTCTCACTCCGGTCCCGGCTAGAACAGACCCCGCCTCCTCCTTGACTCTCTGCGGCCCCGTCCCTGCTCCTTCCAGCACATTCCTAGCAGTGCCTG